GTAGATTTGTACGCAAGAGCCTATTTGCGCACGCAGCCAGGAAGTTAGACGATCAACTGTACCTGGAGGATTGTTGGCCACGACAATCGGGAGAAACTCCCTTCACTTCCATGGAATTTTTACTGTTCAGGCGCGGACTGGACCTCGGGTTAAAAGTCCCATACGATGATGGCACCTCTGACAATGAAGGGCTTCCCCAGCACTGCACCGGGATGTGTAGGATCGAGCTCAGCACGAACTGGCTGGGCCGAGTGTACTGTTTCTGCACTGTGCCTTCATTGTAAATTCTCCCCAACGGTTGTGTGAGTTAATGTACCCCCTACTTTAGCTGGGAGACGAAGCAAAGGAGTGATTGGGATGCTCAAGTGCTCTGGGACGTTACCCTGCGTGGGAGGCGCTATATAAATACAAGTTGTTGCTATTTGGAAGAGGTTCGCAATTCTCATGACCAAATAAAAGCTGAATTATCACCACTCCTGATAAGGTCTGATGTTTCCAGGCAGTTTTCTATTCCTTCACTAAAAGCATCAACACAGTCCTTAACTGTTACAATTCTCAATCTGAAACGTTGGTTTCGGATTAGTGTCCGTCACTAATGTTCATTCCAGTAATTCCCAACGCTACATCGACTGATCGTATTGATTGATATAAAACGTGGGGCTTTTATTGTGTATAAATTGCTGGAAATGACACAGCAAAAGTCCAGTCAATCGTGCATCTCTTTATCGAATTCCTTTATCATTTTAAGCGCCTCAATTAGTTCACTCCCTCAACCTTTTAAGCTCAAGAGAATAAAGGCCAAGTTTATGCAACTTGTCTTCATAATTTAACAAATATACAGTCAATTCACTTTACAGTATATTCTGTGAACCGCTTTGAGACGTCTAGAAGATGTGAAAAAGCGCTATATCAAATGCAAGGGTTGTTATTAAATGCAAGGATTAACTCTTTAAGCCCTGGTATCATTCTGGTATCTCTGCGGCCTGGGTGCGAAGCAGAGACACAGAGTTCGGTCACCTCGCTCCCAGCTGAGGCATCATTCGCTCAGAAGCCTCAGGTGAAGACACAGAGATCTTACAACAGGTTTGCAAGGCACGGAAACAAATTGCTGTGTAGGAGTCCTGTAGCGTTGCGGTTAGCGCACTCGCCTCGCAAGTGAGAGGACTCGGGGCTCGATTCCCTGGCAGGGCCGAAACCTTAGGCAAGTATTAATAATAATAATAATAATAATCCTTGCAGTAAATAAATAAATTGTTCGGTCACTCAATCCACGATTGCTTGTGGGACGCTGCTGTGTGCAATCGACTTTCGCGTTTCTCCCACAAAATACACAGTCAATTCACTTTGCAGCAGATTCCGTGAAGCACGTCGAGCCCTCTCACCGACGCGATGAGGCGCTATATATCAAATGCAAGGATTATTCAGATTATTATCATCACATCAAATCGTTTAAACGCTTTGAGTGGAGTATTGCCGGGGTGGCTTGGAGGGAATTGGGTTACCCCATGCCAGCCAGCCTCATTGCTGTCTGAAAAAGGGTAGAGCTTCTCTAAGCGGTTATAATAATCATTCACCTCTGTTCCCTCTGCAAAGGAATGACACTGGTCCTTTAATCAAATCCCTTCAAATATTAATACCATGCCCTCAAGGTGGTCATGTCTTGGGAAGGCAGCTGTGGATAGAATCTCTCTCTCTCTCTCGCTCTGTTTTTAATCTCGTCTTTTAAGCTCAGCACTGAGGCTAAGCGTGGATTCACCAGGCAACTCTGCATTCAGTCTATTTCAGGGGTTCACCAATAAATAATAATGTAATAATTATTATTATTACTAGACACAAGAAAAGCATTGCCAGCATTTCCTGTGGAGGTTGTCAAGTCTTATCTGAAGAATGGAGGCAAATGACCTTCCCCCCCAGGGCTGCACTGAATCAAGGCATACCTTTTTGACCGTGTTTTCAGTCATCTTTCCCCTCCCCACCTCCTTCTCCTTCTCCTCCATCTCGGCTGCCCAGTGTCAAACACTTGTGACGTACTCCCGATGTGAAAGGCACTAGCTACATCAACGTAACTTGTATTGCATCGGAGCATTGGCTTAGACTGTGAGCTCAAAGTCCCTAACATGGGGCTTGAAGCCACAACCTTCTGACCCACGATGAGATAGATCCACAGCACAGAAGATTGGGTAGGTTACTGAAGATCTCCTGAAACATTTGCTTTGTGCCTGCTGCAAAATCCCTCACGGGTGGAAACTTGGAAGCCAATTGCGCACAACAGAGTCCCACAAACAGTCGTGGATTGAGAGACCAATTTTTTTCCCCAGGCAAGTGCTCCGCCGATCGACTAACAACCGGGTTCCTACTTACTTTTCCCTATAAAAGAGGCGTGTGGAGTAAGACGACTTGCCAAAGGTTTTGCCCTGCCCGGTAATCGAACCTGGGTCCTCTTGCATGCGAGGCGAGCGCACTAACCACTAAGCTACAAGACTCCATTGGAGTCAGAGTTGTAGAGAGATGCTCAGGAGCCTGGGACAGGTAGGAAGCAAACAGTAAGAACCCATAATACTTAATTAAACCAACCAATGCTGGCTGGAGCTTTCCAATTAAGCTCTGCCTCTCTATCTGGGCAGCTTGGAGTACAAGCCCTCGCAGCTCCTGGATGAGAGAGAGTAAAGGGAAGCTCAAATTTAACCATAGATGTAATCTATTGGGAAATCCATCCTTGATGTCTATTCATCATGGTTTGAGGCAGGTAATACAGTCATTCAGATGTGTCTCACTTGTCCAGGCACTGACCTAAAGGGCGAATGCTAATTTAGATCAGGCACTAAGCCCTGAGTAACAAGGAGAAATACACATTTGGTGGAAGTGATATATAAAAAAAATGCGGCAATATGACATAAGGGATCAGATAACTGAGCCAACACGTGCACAATGTCGCGGATAAAATGCTGCGATTTCTAAGCTTGTGAGCGTTTTCGCACTGGCAGCTTGTCAAGGCTGGAAATTGGCACTGCCTAATTCGATTAAACCCATCCGTCTACCCCTCTCCCACCACCACTTAAAAACATGTTTTAAGGGCCGCTTTCTTCGGCTGTGCTTTCGGCAGCCTTCCTCAACCCCTACACCCTCAGCTCCCAATATATTACATGCTTTTGAGACACGGTCCCGACGTGAAAGCTGCTGTATAAATAGAAATTGTTGTTGTTAATCATCAAGTTGAGCGGTCGCCGAACAGAATTTTGTTGCTTTCATTTCCCCCTCTTCCTCCAAAAGAAGTCCTCTGTCCATTTGACTCGGTCCTTAAAAAAGTAAGGCTCACGTTTTAGCCGTCAATTTGGTAGTCGGTCTTTTGCGATTCCAAAATGGTCTGACGTGTTGAGATGGGGTAGAATTTGGGGGCTTATACCCAGGCTTTACAGTACAGGGTGTTTACAAAGTCCTGTTTAAAGCCCCTGTGTGTTTTTTTTCTTAGAATGAATTTTTATTTTCTGTTGCAGATGAGTAGAGTGTAATAATGTCTGATACCAGTAATTTCCTCTTCCGTTACTCCACCCGTGTTACGGAAAATGTCTAAATACCGTACAGTTAACCATTTGTAATGAATACAATGCGGTACTTCTGAATACCATTGTCATCGTTCTTCCACATGTTTCAGCTGTTGGGTCAGTGCACTGCAGAAAAAATACAACATGGGGGTAACAGGACTTTGTGAACGCGCTGTAGAACACAAGGTGGGTCTGGATGAAAAAGTCCCTTCAGCCCATTGGATCTCATTCTCTGCAGAACACCCAGAGAATCCATCCAACCCATCAAGGCATCAAGCTGGTTTTTAAACAAACACTGGAGAGAAATCAGACCTGAAATAACTCCCACCCCCACCCCCCCACCCACCACCGTCCAAACCACTGTAATTAAAAGACTTATTCCAGCAAAGAGCATCTCTAGCTCTGAGGGTGAAACGTGCACAAGTGATGCAGCGCTAAAAGGAAGAATTTAGTGTCTGCAAACTGGTTCCACACTGAATGCCGTATACAAAGGTTTCCCAGGAAACTGACTGCTCTGTGCTGCCATCAGCGCTGCCTTGCACTGACTTCGCAGGTGTTGTTTTTGCTAGAAAACCGTCTTAAAGGAGCACTTATCTTAAAGGTGGTTTGAGTTGAAGAGAAGCCAGGTGACCGCGCAGCAGTGATGTGAAGCGAATGTCGCAGCTCTGTCCTGCACCCAATAGGTCCATGGGGAGAGTGCCTGAAATTCCACGCAGTCTTAGCCTGCGAGACCATTTGGTCTTAAAATTTAAGGGGGTGGGGGGGGGGAATTGTCGGCCAGGACGCTGGGAGAGAGAAACTCTTTTCTCTTTTCGAATGGGATCTAATGTCCAACTGATCAGAAGGGAATTCTGTCTCATCTGAAGGCCGGTGCCTCGGACAATGCAGTACTCACACAACACTGCATTGGAGCGTTAGCCTGTGAGCCGTAAGCCCAATGCGGAGCTTGGAACCATAACCCTCTGACCAAGAGGAGAGCGTGCAAGCAACTGAGCCAATGTATAATTTTGAAAACCTCCGTCACATCCACTTAACGTGCTGCGCTCCAGTGTAGCAAAGGCCAACATTTAATGTCTCTGCAAATAACTATAGCCTCTCATCTTTGGCATATATCAAATGCAAGTATTATTATTATTATTACTATCATTATCAATCTCTTGAGTGCTCAGCAAAGTGAAGTCAGCCCTAATGGATAGTACTTAGTCAGTTTCAGCCAACCTCCCTGAAAACGTACGTTAGTTTCAATCTTGTTTAAGCAAAAACCCGGAGTTTTTTTTCCCACCCCAAAAATCTAAAGTTTTAAAACTTCGAGCCGTGTAACGCTTTGTCTCTCTCTCTCTCTCTCTCTCATACAAACAAATGAAGAAGAAAGAGATGATAAATGAAACCTAAAGCTTCGGGGCTTTGATTAACTGCCCAGGAAGAATTACGTCTTTGGATGGTAAGGTGGATAATTACCTGTGATAACTGGCCAACCTCTAAGTAGAAGCAAATGATGAATGCATTCCACGTCACCCACAGAACAAGCCAGCCGGCGTACTGAGAAAACAAAAGGGAGACGGCACTTTAGACGTTGCAAAAACCTCAGAAATTGCAGTGATGTACAATAATGATCATCATCCTTACAACAACAAAATATTGCATTTATATAGCGCCTTTCACATAGGGATGATGTTCAAAGGGACTGGACAGTCAAGGATTTGCACCAGAGCCTACATTTGATAGAGAGCCTTTTCGACAGGAAGCCATCCCAAAGTGCCTCCCAGGATGTAGACTGTAAAATGCAGTGACTGTGTGTTTTGAGGACGAGTGTAAATTGGCCTCATCCACTCTACAGTCTTCCCACGATACCATCAAGTTGTTTCTTAAAGCGTTCCCAATGGATACCCGTCACTGTGCTCAGGAGTCTCCAAACCAGACAGACTATAAATCCACAGTCACTGTAACTGACAGAAATACCTACGAGATACCACTGTTGAATACAAAGGATTTTTTTTTAAGGTTTAGATTGGGTAGCATCAGGATGGGAGGTAAGTACTGCCCTGGAATTAACCTCTGGACTTGTCTTCGTGGTTTACGAGGAGAGCTTGGAAGCTTGGAAGAGATTGAAATCCAGGTGAAAGCTGTAATTCAGCCTGTCGTGGAGCTGGTCTCAGGATTGGCGGGTGAATAAGTCTTGTTGCAAGTGACTGGGTGATACGTTACAGGGAAAAGAGAGAGAGAGAGAGACAGAGAGAGGGAGGAAGACAGAGAGAGAAAAAGATAGAGAGAGAGTGAGAAAGACAGATAGCGAGAAAGTCAGTGAGAGAAAGAGAGTGAGAGTCAGTGAGTGAGATGGGGGAATGTGAAAGGGGTAAAGTGAGACGGGGAAAGTGAGACAGTGAGTGAGAGAAAAAGACATAGAGACAGCCTTGCTTGCTCACTCGCTCTCTAAAAACTGACAAGTGGAGCCCCATGTGTCCATCTATTGAGGACTGAAGGGACTCTTGTACTTGGAGTGCGAGCGGGACTAAGCTATTTCAAGACTACTTTAAGTCCATTCCTAATGTAATGAGGTTTAAAAGCTGCACAAGGCTTTGGAATATAGGAGACATCCCTTAAATTCTGCAGTGTGGTTCTCAGCTGCTGTTAACCCTGCAAGCCAAAGCCCCAATGGGTATAGTGGTCCTGGCTGGACAAGCACACAGTGCTTTCAAGTGGCAAACCATCCAGTTTGAGTTGGTTACAACTACAGCAATCACCACCTCCCCTCAACCACCAACCAATGCTCTGAGGCCCCCAAGCCTTGTCTCTCGCCAACCTGCTGCTAATACTCTCCAGGAATAGGTAAGCCAGGGTGCGTTCGTGCAGAGAGAGATCAATAGAAAGAGAGAAAGAGAGAGAGAGAGAGCACATTGCCTTCCAGACATGGGGAAATTTCCACGGGTGAGTGGCATGCATAAGTGGAATTCTCAGTCTGGTTTAGTTACTCATAAGCATGGCGATTGGTTTCTGCTGGTGTCAGACACCTGGCTGACGTCCTCGGTAATGTAATTGCAAAGCAATAGTGCTTTCTATTTGACAGCAGAGGAAAACACTCCACAGACAAAAAGCACGCTGGAACAGAAGATTAGTGGTCTCGATTTTCACGATCGCTGATGCTCATCTGCTATCGAAATGGATCTCTTCATAACTTCTAGACAGTGTAACCGTTGGGCCGGACTCCCTTCTCTTTCATGAGATGTTTAACGTTCACCTGATCAGACAGACGGGACTTTAGTTTGAACGTTTGAAGGTCAATATCTTTGACAATGCACACGTTTGACATTTGGCGCCTTATCACGTTGTCTCGAGACGTCTCAAAGCACTTCACAGGATATACCGCAAAGTGGACGGATTGCCTGGTTCGTGGACAAAACGGGGCCCCGGGGCGAGAGAAAGTCCCTTCTTTTTTCCAATAGCTCCCCCTGGACCTTTAGCGTCCACCTGAAAAGGCACAGACGGGGAACACCTCATCCAAAGCACGGTACCACCGACATTGTGGTCTTCCCCATCCCAGCAATGAGTCAGAGCCTCAGCCCAGATAAACCCTTCATTACTAAAAATTTCACAAGGGCAACAAAAGAACAAAACAGCCATTTAAGCCGAGACTCAGAACAAACAGTAAACTCTTTGAAGAGAGGCAGAAAGATCTACAAATAATGAACATAATTCCCGAATAGTCAAAGGCCTGAAAGTAATTTACTGCTTTTGAGGCTTGATACGATTGAGTGTATTTTTTTTGTCAGAGCTCAAAATATAATTTCCTTCATATCTAAAATTGCCTCAACGTGGTTTATATTCAAGACATTAAGCTTCAGGAATGCCGAATGTTAATAACACAAGCGATTGTCATGACATTTCTCCCCACACACCCCCAGCCCCACTGATTGAAAGGAGCAAATTATATCCCCGAGCCCCATCTTCATGCAAAAAATGTTAATGACGGCAAAGGCAAGAAGATTAAATTAATTCAAAAATATTCTCAAACCGAAATTATCTACTGTAACTAAACACAACAATAATAATAATCTTTTCACATGACACAGCACCTTTCGCGTCAGGAGGACGTCTCAAAGCGCTTCACGGGACACACTCTACTCAGCTAACTCGGCACAAAGTGAGAATCAAACTTGGGACCTTCTGCATCAGTCGCGATCCACTTAATTACGCCGTAAGTTTTTTTCTTCGCAGTCCCAAGAACAGAATACAGGTTAGTTATTGTACTTACCATAATTAAGTACTTGGGTCTGTACTGGACGGTGCCAAAGATGCCGAGGATGATTGCCATAATGTGTAAAAAGTTCGCCAAAATAGGGACCCATTGATAGCCCAGAAAGTCAAATATCTGCCTCTCCAAAGCAGCTACCTGCAAGAAAATAGGAACAACATTAGCTTCTCATGGATGACACAGGGCAGATTAATTGAACATGGGGGTTCAAAGTGGGGGCTTGGGGGAGGGGGATGTTGGGGGAGGATAATATAATAAAAATTCTTGCATTTGGCCTTGTGCCTTTCACGTTAACGACTTCTCCAAGCGCTTCACAGGATACACTGTAAAGCCTAGAGACGATGTGTTTTGTACGCCCACAGGAAGCCATTGGATGTGCTTGCAAATGCTACCATAATAATAACAATCCTTGCATTTGACACAGCGCCTTATCGCATCATTGTGACGTCTCAAAACGCTTCACAGCATATATTACAAAGTGAATCGACTGTGTATTCTGTGGGCGAAACGTGGAAGCTAATTGCGCACAGCAGTGTCCCACGAACAGTCGTGATAAATGCTGCCAGTGTTCCAGGCTGGGGTTGGAGCCCAGGATGAAGGAAGTATTATTAAAGGCTGAAATTACAACCAAAATAAGGGTTGCAGCTGGTTTCAAGTGTTCATTAATGATCAGTCTTTCACTCCACTGATTTGCGCGAATCCCCGGCCACAGCGGTGTAATGTCATTTCAGTGGCTTCAACCTAATCATCATTATATTAATAGAAGCAGAATCCCGAAACTGCACAAATAAATACTTTGAAATGCCTCATGTGGATCACTGGGCTTCGCACCAAACTGCTCCAACCGCTCGGGGTGGGGGAGGGGAGTGAGCAAACGATACCAGAGTCGGCTTTTTATTGCGGGGGTTTGGCCCCATAAAAATATCCTCCATCCAGCTGACATCACCGCCTGCATGCTGCGCAGGGACAACACGAGACATCAGGAGGCACACCCTATTGCTTGTTCCGCTAGAAGCTCGCGCCATAAATGGCGATACAACGCAAACTTACGTCTATATAACACCTTCACATCACGAGGACATCCCAAAGGGCTTAGCAGTATTGGCTGAGGGTGGGATCCTAAATGCGGAGAGTTAACTGAAAGCGCCGTCGAAGAGGTAGGTCTTGAGATGGATCTTGAACAAGGTGAGGGAGGGAGGGAGGGAGGGAGGGAGCGAGCGAAATCAGAGATACTTCAGGCAGAGAGAGTGGGCAGCATGGCTGCCGATGGTGGGATGGGTCGGGTGTGAAGTGGGCAGAATTGAGGGGTACACCGGGGGCAAGACCGTGGAGGATTTAAAAGCTGAATGTACGGTAATACCAAAGCACGATAGAATGGGACCCCCAACTGTAGCAGAAATATCAATATTGAATAAAGTTGAATTTATTCCCTTTAATTACGGAGACTCAACGTTTAAGCCCAACCGCGTGAGCAGAACTATGAGAGCAGGAGATGTGCAGGGCTGATCGGAAAGCCTGCTCTTTGTGTTATAATGAGCCCTGGGAAATTCAACATGATGAAACACCTCATTTAGTTAAAAGCAACTCATTGAGCCACTCGAAGCCTTGTTTACTTCGCAGCAAACTAACTCGCCCAGCTGCTTAACCGCTCCTGCAATAAATCCAGTTAGAATCAATAAAAGTGCAGCGTCGTAAAATTACCAGCATAACACTGCTCCTGTCATTTATTATTCATCCTCTAAATCTAAAAGATTTAAGGCGAATTTGTAACCGTTTTTGATGCCTGTACTCCGGAGAGTTGGCATTGTTTTTCCAAAGTGTAAATAAGGCTCTGTGTTGGGAAGGTTCACACGGATTGCGATGGGATTCTGATAACTTTATCTGAGTGGCCATTTCACTGTAAATAATAACAGTGAGAATAACCCTTGCGACCAGTGTAGCACCTTTCACGGCTGGAGGAAGTCTCTCGATATTCCCAAAGGAATGACGGGATCCATTTGATCCCAGGCTCTTGCTTTGTTTGAACCCTTGTCCCACTCTCGTTCGTCAAATCTCGTAAGCAAATTCTACTCAAGTGATAACAGCTCATCCAAGGCTTACAACTTATCTTACATTGCAGCCTCCAATGGCCTGTAGTGGGCAAAGGACAAAGTGCAGAATAGCCTCTTACCCAGGTTCTGTGCGCTCTGAGATGATGCAGCGAGCGGAGAACCCATTGAGGTTTCTCATGTCAATACACAGAATCGCTGCCTCATTGACAGACTTATTCCTTGCACTGATCAATGCTGAATCCTCTATAAACTGGTGAGTTGAAAGAACAACCAATTTATTGACCACAAGTGAAATAGGCAGACGTTTAGTTAATACACGACAGCAGGGCTCTGAGCTGAGTATTCAAAATACTGATGTTCTGGCGACAATCCCAACCCCCGCCCCCACCCACACACCCGATAAATCTGGTAATTTGTTTCACGGCTCTTCATTATGCATTACCCACAAATACGCAGTCACTACACTTTACAGGACCCTCTGAAGCACTTGAGACATTTCCATGTGATAAGGCAGTATGTGAAATGCGAGGATTATTGTCATTTAATTTATGAATGTGGGTATGGCAAAAGCAAGCGGGCTAATCCACACACCTGTATGGGCTTTCATACTGGATGATCTAAGTTGGTGAGAGTTATTAATTATTAATAATAAAATCCATGAATGTACAAAGACAACAAGGAATTCAGGCTGGAAGCTTGGGATCTGTGGGCAGAGTCTTTTCACGGTTCATTAAATACAAGCAACAGCGGCAGATTGAGAAACAGCTACTGTTTCAATTAAATAAAAGTTAGGACCGCAATCCTGGGAATTATTAGTCTGCTTCCCGCGCTACAGATGTCAGATTAACATCAGGGAGTCTTGGAAAAGGAGCATTGAGGGCCCATTTAAAAACAGTAAAGGCAATGATTCCAAGGTGGATGGATAGCAGATGATGCCTGGCAAATTTATGACAATTCCTTGGGATGTAACAAAATTGATGGATGATGTTAATGTAGATCCTGCTATGAACTGCGATTTTCAGGAGGTATATAAGATGCTGCCTCTTTAATAAAATATTATTGGACACTAAAGGCAACGATAAAAACACTTACAATTCTAATTGAGAGCTTGTGCACCAAAGTACCCTTTGGGATAATCTATTTTGGGGAGAAATTCTGTCTGGGCCGAGACTGATTCTATTTATGTAGCACTTTAGAGTGACCAGGATTTGGACAATTCCTAAATGCGGTTTTAATTTCATATCCGTTTTTCTGCGAGATTCTGAGCGGAAACAAGTTTAGTCTGAAACTATTTCCATTGCTAGGAGAGAGTGACTAGAGGAGACGGGTTTAAGACAGTCACAAGAAAAGCGAAAGGAGAGTTTAGGAGAATGTTTTTCACCCAGGGAGTTGATGGGATGCGAGAAGCCCTGCCGAGTAAAGGGGTAGCGCGCAGTCCATTATGGGTTCCAAGAGGGAAGTAGACCAGTATATGAATGATAGACGTTTGAAGGGGTGTGAGGAAAGGATGGAGCATTGAATGAACAATTTGAATGAGATCAGGGGCAGTCTCAACGGGCTGAATGGCCTCCTTCAGGATTGTAATTGCTTTGATTCTACAAAGTTACATCCTCCATTTATCATTGCAACATAACCATTTTCTCGCTTTTCCATTGGAGACACCATTAACGTCACTGTCAATAAATTGGACTTGTTGGCATCCAGATTCAAGTCTGAATGATTGACTGGAGGCACTGAAAGATAGATTTAGGCATTCCAGATTCGGAGTCACTATTCCGAGGCTCTTCTCATTGAAAAAATACTCAGCTTTGCTCCACCAAGTTGCTATGCCCAAAGGAAACCCACGATATTAATGTCTCCTGAATTTCCTGTTATATTAATGTTCGTTGCCAATGAAAACAATCCTGTATTGATCAGCCAAGGAGACTTCAGCTCCTGCTGCGTATTAAAAGGTTACTATTTTATCGACCTCCATGATATACTCCGGGGTTCTCTGTCCTGAATGTACATCAACACGGTTGTTTGTTGAGGTTAAATCTCCAGTGTTTGAGTGCTAACTCCACTTGTAAATCCGCTGGCTGGACAGAATAACCCAATGCTAACGAACTAATTTACACTGGTGTAATGAACCCCAGTTACAAATTTGACACTGGATTCTTTTGCTATTTACAATCGCTTTAGTCTTCCAAGAGACTCAGAGGTTAAGTGCCCGTTGAGATTGCAGTTATTAAAATTAGACTATAGAGTGCCCGAAATTCTCGGAATTCCAACAGCAAAACCATTACCATCTCGCCAAGGCAGAGAGGTGTCACAGCCATCAACCGTCCCAGTCTCTGATTGTTGGGGTCTGGAATCATCTGTAGGAGATCTCCTTAAGGGACCTGTGTGTCCCAGCACTCTCTCACTCAGCAATAACCCAAGCACTGAACAGCCTAGAGCCATCATGCTGGGTTGGCTGAACCAGGACACGGAGGGGGGGGGGGGCACGGCGAGATTACAAATTACCTTGGGATAGTAATAAGGGTAAAACCAGCCACATCAGCACAAAGAAACGGTAGCAAAAGAGGCAACCTCATGCCACCAGCTTATGGAGTTACATGGAACAGACTGTTGACATGATTGGAGCGGATGAGTCAGAGGTTAACTGCCAGGGAGCAACACACACCACCACTGAAAGTCTCGTCATGACGAGAGAGCCTCAAATCCAAACTTCTCTTCCTTCAGTATTATTCCAGTAACCTCCGTTCCCTCTTTCTCCTCCCCGCCTCACAATTTTGCTCATCCCGTGCGCTTACGTGTGTTAACTTGCCAATGGCGATATTTCATCAAAAATTTATGCTGAATTCATTTCATCGTAACAACTCCAATTTATTATTAACAAAAACAAAATCAGCTTCCAATTCGCCCAATTCGCCCCTTAATTGCTCAAATACCAACAGCAGACTGGGGCTTGTTTACATCAGGAGTGACTAGTCAGCCACATAATTGTCAGCTACTCTGTGGCCCATCAGATAAATTGACTTGATGGGTCTAAAGATAACCAAATTTATCGGCGAAAGAGCCCAAGAATTAGATTGAGAGTTTAGT